CACAACAATTGATTCTGGGACCTTGAATTGCATAATGGTCGGTCCAATTGCACAATTTGACATAAAAATAAAAAATCCCGAAAATTTGATTGAAAATTAAAAATTTTGAACCCAAATTGGGAATCGTGCCCAATATGAAATTGTCGAAATGTGAGACCATCATTTCTAGGGTTAATCAGGTGTGGGTAATTCAATTTTGGCATCAATTTTTCCTAATCAGGTCATTAGGACATCAAATTGAACAAAACCCTATTAACCCGAATATAAAAATGAGATAATCTTGGACACAATTATAATAAAAATTGGGGCAAATTATACATTTGGGTTCGGAATATGATGGGAAATTCAATTTTGGGTTTAAATTTAGAAAATTGGGTCAAAATCGGGTCAAATTTGAGAATTTAGGTCAATCCGGGTATGTCGGGTCAACCCAACCCGACCCGGATTACTCACCTTCTTCGCCCGACTTAGTCATAGCACACTAAACCCAGAAAAACCGAATCAAACTTGAGACTTCATCGATCATTTCCAGATATTTTGGCACGTGAAAATCAATTTGGCCAGTTGGAAAACATCCAGCTGGCACCAAGTAACTGATCGAACCGATCAGAAGTCGGTTCCAACCAATATTGAGCAGGAAAAATCGCAGAACAAAAATGGAAAAAAACTAAAGGAGAGGAAGGAAGGTGTTCGCTGAAATTCCAGAGAGAGAGAGGAGACAAAACGGAGTCAAACCGAAGAGAGAGAATTAGAGAGAGAGGGTTGTAGGTCCTCCCACGAGTGTCCGGCGCCGTCCTAAACGGCGGGGCACCGCCCTAGACGGCGGAGCGCCGGCGAATGGTGAGTTGATCGTGACCTCCCCTCTCCGTTCCAGTCGGGAAAGTCTGACCGTGAAGACTTGAAACCGGAAGTTTTTCGGCCAATCCAGACCTGTTCCGGCGAATCCAAGAGCACCAGGAGGAAGATCAAGTGTCAGGGAACGATCCTTGGAGCACGGATCACTTCAACAATTTTATTTAATCATCGGACGAAGCAGGTAAAATCGACTCAGGGTCAATTTTTTGTAAAATTTTCCAGAATAGGTTTTAGGTTTGCTCGTGCATATTTCCTCTTGATTTTGTTACATTGATGCCTAAACCTTGTTCTAATCACTTTTTGTATGCTTGTTTGCACTTTGAATGGTTAAAAATGTACAAACCGAGTCGGCCGTGCATTAAACCCTCTCGCCGGAAAACCCGAAGCCTCGCCGGAGCATTGCCATGGCCGTAAGGCCATTCAAGTTAGTTTCCCTGACCTTGTTTGATGTTTTGATAGTCGGAACCGATTTAGACGGCTAGGGCGGCTAGTGTTAGGATTAGTGTTCTGGAAAATCTTGTTTAGGTTAGTGTTATGTTAGTATTTTCCAATCGGTTTTTCGCCGGTCGGCGAACGTCCGGCGGTGATTTGATTGGACTAGATTAATACTCGAACACATGGACTTCATCGTGGTGCAATCGAAATGGTCAAAAGGTCGCCGAAGGCTCGTCGGCGACGAGCCCGAACCGGTGACCTCGAGAACGTTAAATGCGAAACAGTACCCACCAACTGTTTGTAAAAATGCCTCAATGAAAATACTCCAAAACGGCGTTGTTTTTTTTGCCCTGGTCTCGCCGGAGAAGACGACCAGCGATCGGCGTCGGCGACGCCCGGTTCGGCCAAGCCGAACCGGGCCGGTCCAATTCGTTTCCCCCGGCGGGAAAATTAAAAAAATTTTCTAAAAAAATTAAAAAAAATCAAAAAATTTAAAAAAATAAAAAAATGACAGAAATCATAAAAAAATTAGAGATTTTTTTTAGAAAATCAGAAAATTAGAAAATTTCATAAAAATTCAAAAAAAAAATTTCAGAAAATTCAGAAAAATCCAAAAAATTCGGAAAATTCATAAAAATTTAGAAAATTTAGAAAATACAAATAAAAAATAAAAAAAATTCAGAAAAAACAATAAAAAAATTTGAAAAATTGGAAAATTCATAAAAATTTTCGGAAAACCATAAAAAATCAATTCTCGGTTTAAAAATTTTTTTCCAAAAAAAAAATAAAAAATTTTGACAATTCACATAATGGTCCAAAATCATCGTGGTCAGCCATAAAAAGTGAAATTTGAATTTTCGGAAGTGTCCAAGTGACATTTTTGGAAAACTCCAAATTCATGGGTTATAACCCTTAAAAAACTCTAAAACCCTAAAAAATGTGAATCATGAAATGAACAAGCTATTAGAGCTTCATTAGGGTTTGGGATATTTTGATTGATTTTCGTTTTAGAGACCACTTAGGATTAATTGACTTGATTGATGTTGATTGTGCATTTAATACCTGTTTGGTCTTTCCTGCGATTAGAACGGATAGGATTAGTGGGTAAGCCTCGGAAATTCGCATGACACGTTAGACATTATATCATTCTTAGGTACCGAAAGGGCGTTAGGGATCTCAATTTGGGATCAATAACGTAACCAAGTGCTCGTACTCAGAATCTCTGGTTCGTAGGATCAGGGTATTTCTCCCGTACCTCGATTAGGTTTCTAGTCTACCTACCAATAATGATTAGTGGCGATTCCAAAATCACAAATTTAGAAATCACCTTCCACTGTCACGTGAGGTATGGTCTGGGAGAGACCCTTATGCGGAAATACCTCCTTAGCACGCAAATCCCGAAAACACCCCCAAAAGCGCGGCGCGACAGAGATCGAACATGCACCTTATCAAACTCGATAGCTAGAGTGACTGTTGGCTCCACATTTCCACCTCACCACAAGCATCATCTCTGTCGACTACTCCTCTAGAGTTCTGGTTGCAACTTCACCTCGAGCTCAACACTATCTATATCCATGTAAAACTGCCACAATCGCACCTACCCAAAAGTAACGAAGACTCGTCAAATATAATTTCTTTGCTAATAAATGTGAATTTAATTCCGAGCACCACAATCAATAGCTCCTTTCACCTTGTGCATAGCTTAAGAATATGAACTTTAATGCCCTTTCGTCGAATATTTTCTCTGTCGATCCCTACCAGCATTGGGCTTTCAGCTTTCCCAATGCCAGCATTTGGCCAAAAGCCCCTTGGGACGGATTGCCAAATACCTCGGCATTTCCTCAAGGGGCTTTAGAAGCCAAAAGCCACCTGGAAAAGTTGAACCAAACGTACCCTTAAGAAACCTACTTAAATTAGAAATGTTTCGTTTCCGAGCTCAAACTTGAGATACGTTCTCGACGGTTTCTATTCGCACTTATCAACTAATTCACTCCGGTTATCGAAAATCCGCAAGACGATAATTACCCACAATTATCTAGCCTTGAATGCGTTTTACTGCCAACTTCTTACTCCATCATTCGCAAACGTTAAAATTTCAATTAATTCACACGTTGCTCAATCTGACGGTTCACATGTACATCCACATCTCTTTGACGTCGACATCGATTGCAGATTTTTTTAATTGTACGCAATAAAAATGACGAAAGCAACCAGGCAAACGCATGAAGCATGCCCAAGATCCCACTAAACTCTTGAAACTACACGTCAGCACTACAAAGAAGCAGTTGAAATAGTCACAACCTGGTGCGTCATGTCTCTTCTTACACTTTCTTAGATTGACTTTAACTTTGCATAATTTTTCTATATATAAATTTGGAAATTCCAATTATTTTCTCGAAGAATCTTGTTGATGTGAATTTGTTATCGATGCGGAAATGCCTCGCCAAGTCAGGACTAGACCACAGGGTAGATTTGAAAATAAATTGAAAGTTGATGATTTTTTTAGACAAAATAAAATTTGGGGCAGATTTGGGACTGAATCTAAAGTTTGGGATTTTTTTCCAAGATAAAAAAAAAGTTCGAGGCAGATTTGAGGCTAGACCTAAAGTTAAGGGGTTTTTTCCAAGATAAAAAATCGTTCGGGACAGAATTGAGACTAAATCGAAAGTAGGGGAGTTTTTAGGAAATTAGGCCCAACATCATATGGCCCTTACTTTAATTAGCCGTGTTAAAGAGTTTATTCCTAGCTATTTGCCGAACTCGTGGTTGCGTAATTAATTCTTTGTACTAGATTTATAGAAATGTTGATAATACGTTTCGCCAGCCAACCTTGATCTTTCGCCCATCTTCTCTTCTCCGGCAGTGTCAAATCAAGCGCCTAAGCTTTCTTAGTGCATTTAGCCATATGAGCCCTAACTCACACCTGTAGTTAAATGCAAGGGAGTCTCTCTCGTCGCCTACTTATACAAAAAGCGGTTGGGTCATCACTCTCCATATATCTCCGCTTCATCCTCTACCTCTACAAAAACCCTTTGCACCAAAACAAGACGCAACCTTCAACCTTCAACCTGCAAATGGACACTTCCCCACTCACCATTCTCTCAACCACTCTTCTAATCACTATCTACTTCTTCCACCACCTCCGCCGCCAGAATGCCCCCAAGCTGCCGCCGGGTCTGCCGCCACTGCCCGTCATCGAGAACCTCCACCGGCTGGGCAACCTTCCCCACCGCTGCCTCCACAGCCTCGTCGAGTCCTACGACCCCATCATGTCCCTCCACCTCGGCAACAAGCCGACGGTGGTGGTCTCGTCGCCAAAGGCGACTGAGCTGATCCTCAAGACCTATGACAGCATCTTCTCGAGCCGCCCGAGCGTGGATGGCTCACGCCACTTGTCTTATGGCAACAAGGGCATCGTGTTCACGGAGAGCGGTGTGTACTGGCGGTAGGGGTGAACGGTTCCAGGTTCCTTACAGGTTCCAGGTGGAACCTGGAACCTACCCTTTGGTATAGGTTCCTCATTTTTTAGAACCTGGAACCTACCCGTCAAAACGTGAGACCTGAAACCTACCCTGTCACAGGTTCCAGGGTTGGTTTCAGGGTTTGACAGGTTCTTTTTTTTTTTTTCATTTTTAGTTAATCAAAATGAAAGACTAATTGTTGGAAAACCCACGGAGATTGTGAATGTATAAAGAATAAAGAGTGGCCTGTTACACAATGGATTTGTAATTAATCAATTTATGCAATATTTGCATTAAGGGTCTACTGATGATTGAAGACTATGAAGCTCACTTCTAACTCAGTGCAACCACTCAACAACTCCTCAAGTTCAGAAACATGAAGTGCTCGTCCTCTATTCTCAGCAACAGAACCCAAGTAAAGAAACCGCCATGAAATGAACAACACAATGTCAACAAAAGCCAATCCTCTGCAAGCTGCACAGAACTAAATTAACCATAACCAACACCAAAAGCAGGCACAAACAAGAATTAAAATTCATTTTTTTTCATGTACCAACTAATGCCAAATTAAAACATCACATCTAAAGTCAAGAAGAAGAAAAAGAAGAAGAGAAACCTGCTCTTTTTAGCACCAGCTTTAGGGTGGTCACCCTGCTCAAGTGCATATCTATTGGGACGTAAATGAGAGTTAGAAGCCAGAACTTTGTTGGGAGCACTATTGAAACTGTTTATCTTGTGTCCGAAGTATGTGTACTGATACTTGTCATTTTTCGAAGCCTCAGCAACTCTCCAGGCCTACAGGAGCGAAAATATCAAGATTAAAGTGAGGAACTTGGCATGAATTTCTAACAAGAGAAAAAGTATGACAGAAATCGCTGAGAAACCGTACAATTCGACATTGAAAGTTACAATGCATCATGAATCTGAATGAGTGGACTATGTTTATCCCTTTAACCTTTCAAACTTTGTAATTTGCCTCAGCAGGGTGATGTTTAGGTGCAAGGAACAGCAGGACAGGTTCCCAATGTGCATGGGTGAGATTTAAGCCTAGTAGACTAGGAAACAAGTATGATAGTTTGGCAATGACTCCAAATACAAGGGTCATCTGATTCTGCTCCTTATGAAAATATGCCAATGGTTGTTCATATCAAGATATGATGAATACTTCACAGCATTTGATAGTAGCTCCTACTGCAAATCCCAGACTCTCTCCAAATAAAAGGGCCATCTGACTTATATATGAATGGCTTTAACTATCACGCCCCAAACCACGACGAGCGCGCAACACCCCAAGCTCGATCGAAATAGTGCGACGTCGCAGGAACATCGCCGACCCCAAACCAATACATCAGAGTTCGAACACGGCGGAAACGAGAATAACTCCCGAACAAGAATTAGAAAAGGGGTAACAGGGAGGGATAATTAACGGCAAAAGTACACCACAAGTGCCATAACTTGTGTACGGCGATCACTTTGGTGCCATACCTTTTTTTCGGATAACTTTGGTGCCAAGTCGGAGGAAAAGAGATCACTTTGGTGCCAATTTGACCGGAAATTCGACGTGGCATTTTTTACGCCGACGTGGCTCGCCGGAGGCTGAGTCAGCGTGTACAGTCAGCATTTTTTATTTTAAATAATTTTTTTTAACGTATACAGTCACCATTTTTAATTTTAAATATTTTTTCCTTTTTTTTTCTTTCCTTTTTCTTTTCTTTTCTCCCCTCGCCAGCCGGTTGCCGGTGGCTGGCCGGCCACTGGCGAAGCCCGGGAAGGGCTGGGCGAGGGCGGCCTTGCACATGGCCGGCGAGGGGCGACCGACCCTCGCCGGCGACAAGCAAGGCCGGCCCTCGCCGGCCCAGGCGAGGGTCGCCCACAACCGACTCAGGCGAGGGCGACCTTCGCCCGTACAGGCGAGGGCTTCCCTCGCCCGACGCCGGCGAGGATCGCCCTCAACCGCACAGGCGAGGGCTTCCCTCGCCCAACGCCGGCGAGGGTCGCCCTCGCCGGATCTACCGAGGGCTTCCCTCGCCCAATGCCGGCGAGGGTTGCCCTCGCCGGATCCCGGCAAGGGCGACCCTCGCTCGGGCGGCGAGGGCCGGCCTCGCCCTGTCGCCGGCGAGGGTCGGCCGCCCCTCGCCGGCCATGGGCAAGGCCGCCCTCGCCCAGCCCTTTCCAGGCTTCGCCGGTGGCGGGCCGGCCATCGGCAACCGGCCGTCGAAGGGTGAAAAGAAAAAAAAGAAAAGAAAAGAAAAAGGAAAGAAAAAAAAAAGGAAAAAAATATTTAAAATTAAAAATGCTGACTGTACACGCTAAAAAAAATTATTTTAAATAAAAAATGTTGACTGTACACGCTGACTCAGCCTCCGGCGAGCCACGTCGGCGTAAAAAATGAATAAAAAATACCACGTCGAATTTCCGGCCAAATTGGCACCAAAGTGATCTCTTTTCCTCCGACTTGGCACCAAAGTGATCCGAAAAAAATTTATGGCACTAAAGTGATCGCCGTACACAAGTTATGGCACTTGTGGTGTACTTTTACCGAAAATTAACCATGCAACCAACCACTTCATTACATCCACTATATTCACAATATTCAATACAAACCATCGCAACCATCAAATCTCCGCACTGAAAACCGTCGATATCAAAAAGGGCTAGCGACTACGGGTAGATTATCACTTACACCAAAAAGGGTCCAACGCCTAGCTTCTACCTAACCCTTGAGGGGTCCACTCAAAGTCAGTCTCATCTGAGTCAGTCTGATACTCTGAGGACTCAGACTCAGCATCGATCTCAATCGGGTTATCCTCATCTCCCGACTCCAATGGAACCTCAATCATCTCCTCTTCTTCAGGCTCCTCCTCCGGTTCTTTTTCGGGTTCCTCTTCGAACTCCATCTCGGGTTCCTCCTCGGGCTCCTCTTCTGGCTCCATCTCTTCGGGATCTTCCTCCGGGTTCAACTCCATCGGTGCTTCCTCTTGATGAGGCTCCTCGGGTATTGGTTCGAAGGCTACCTCCATCTGATCAGACTCCAGGGGTGCAAATTGATGCCCAGACTCTGCAAGACTGGTGCCTGTACTGGTCAACTCGCCCTCGGGGGGAGGTATAGCCGACGGGTCCCAATCACCTACTCTATCGAATGGGACATCGAAACCTCGCACTGGCCCGAACTCATCTAGCTCGTCTCGGAAGCACCATGCTACATAGGTGTGGGGTTGCCACAACTGTTGACCCACATCTACCCAAATTATACTGGTATGATTAATCCAAGTATGGTTCTCATCTATAGGGTACTCCAAAGCTGTATGATCCGTGTGCATCGGGATCCCAAAACGTTGTGGAGGAGGGATATTCATTGTACCGGCCGGGGGTCTGAAATGGTTTGGTTTAACAACCATGAGACACTTCTCAATAAGCGAAACCCTAAACCCCACCTAGGCTAACACCATGTCGCACTTAATAATACCAACCAAACCATATTCATGCCCACATTCGCAAAACAAACACAACAACATACGATTCCCATTTCACTAGAGCACACGCATCTAATTCATTTCTAACCTGCGTAAACACGCCTCAGGTCCAAAAACTAGCCATCGATCTCTGACCCACGTAAACACGCCTCAGGTCCAACAACACTTCTATAGCCCGCGTCAAAATGCCTCAGGCTCAGTGTCTCTAGCCCGCGTAAACGAACACGCCTCAGGTGCAACACCATCTCTTTTTTTATAACACAACCCGCGTAACACGCATAAGGTTGAACAACACTTCTATAGCCCGCGTAAAAAGGCCTAAGGCTCGATGTCTCTAGCCTGCGTAACACGTCTCAGGCGCAACACCATCTCCTTTTTATGGCACAACCCGCGTAAAACGCATCAGTTTGGCGGTCTTCCGGTATGACCGGGCATCATCCCGCGTAACATGCCTAAGGATGGGTTCAATTCCCCGCGTAAAACGCATCAGGGATTATGTTATCACACGTGCACACATTTTCCATTTATTATCTGGACCCCGCGTAAAAACGCCTCTGGGTATTTAATGATCGTGCAACACGTCGGGCACCCAATCACATGCCAAGTTCATACGACCAACTTGCACACGTCATTCGACATATTCAGGCTAACAATAAGCCATGACAACTCACAATTTTACCAATTCAATTCGCACGTGCACAATTTAACGTGAATTTTTGCATTTTAAGCCAAATTACACCACTCAAGGGCGTCGTACTCCTACTAACAACCCCAATCCAGCACGCGCCACATTTCAAACATAAACATACACCAATTCAGCCACAATATGCACAGCAACTCAACCAACACAGAAAAATCACTATAACGGCACATTTAGGCCCGTTTTCACGCAATAAATCACGGTAATCACCCGTAATCATTCCGATTACCTAATTAATCAATTTTATCCTCAATTCCACCTCAAACACTATCACAATTCCATCCAAACCACTCAGCCAAATCAGTCCACCAATTTCTCTACGAATAACCCCTAAAACTCACTAAAACGCACTCGAACTATCCCGAAATTACCCGCTATCCTAGGCGAGGTTTAGGCTATCACTTACTCGAGGTCCTACGTGAGCTTGAGCACTCGAAAGTGACTTAATAGAAGAGGGACAGCAGCAGAGACAACGACGAGCGGCAAGAACCACCAGCAGCTTACAGCGGCCACGGGCGGACGACGGCGGACGGACGTGCAGCGGCGGCCAAAGGCGTGACTGGCTGGTCGCTTTCACGTGAGGGAGAGGGGGACTCGGCCGGGGGAGAAAATGGGGAGTTGGGCGTGAGAAAATGAGGGGGGAGAGAGAGAGAAAAGAGATAAAAAGAAGAGGAAAAAGGCTAGTCTAAGCCTACCCCGGAGAAATTACCATCTTGCCCTTCTCTCTACTTTCCATCCGACGGCCACGATTCAATCTTATCCAAAAATCGACTGCCCAGATCGATCCCCACCAAAAATATCCAAGGGTAAAATTAGAATTTCACAAAAAGTGCGGGGACAAAATCGTCCAAAAATTTTTATCTCTAAAGTTGATATGAAATGACCAAAATGCCCTTCTTGTTTTACACTTGGTCTTCACAAAGTCCTAGGGGCAAAATGGTCATTTTCCACTTCCTGTCAAAATTTCAGTTTTCTGACGAATCCGAACAAATCCGAGGCTAACCACGTTAATAACGACGTCGTCCAATTACTCTGTCATGACTTTCAAAATTTTCAACACCCAAACTCAGTCTCTATTTAATGGCCAAACTCAAATAAACGCGACTTGAGCTTATCTCAAACTAACGGGCGGCTTTCGGGAAAATTCGTATATTCGACCCGTGGTCGATACTAAATCGAGCCACGTTTAAGTTCACTTGAGCCATGGCGATCTCGATTGTCATGTAATTACGAGGATCAATCACTAGTTCTAAAGAACGTGATCGTTTAGAATAGGTTTGAGATCGTTCGCAAATTTTGTATTCTGGCGAGGCAGAATCACCCGCGATCCAATTATACGGCATTCGTAAATCGATCCATGACCATCCTTAGATCCGTCTATATTAGCCCAAAATATCACATTGACAATCCTTATGGTCGAAAGTCAGTCCATGGTCAGGTTCCATGGTCGCGCGAATCTAGATCCCTAATTAGCCTTTCCCCTACTGGCTAGTGTACCAAGAGTGATCAAGTCTGGGCGAGATTTACTACAAGTGCGTTATTGAAATTATGCATTTCATAAATACCAAGTGGGTTGAAATTTAGAATGTCACAACTCTTCTCCCTTATAAAAATTTCCTTCTCGAAATTTACAATCAAAACCAAACTATTCAAACAACTGGGGGTAATGACGCCTCATCAATTCCTCGCTTTCCCAAGTAGCACCTTCGGTCTCGTGATGTTCCCAAATCACCTTGACCAGCGGAATTGTCTTGCTCCTTAAGACTTGTTCCTTCCTATCCTCAATCCGCACCGGTCTTTCCACATACGACACTTTGTCATCCACTTCTATCTCCTCATAATTCAGTACATGAGCGGGATCCGGTTCATACTTCCTCAACATCGACACGTGGAATACATTGTGCACTTGAGATAAGTTTGGCGGTAAGGCGAGTCGGTACGCTAAATCTCCAATCCTTTCCAACACCTCAAAAGGTCCCACAAACCGTGGACTTAATTTCCCTTTCTTACCAAATCGGGACAATCCTTTCATTGGCGATACCTTGAGGAATACGTGATCCCCTACTTGAAATTTCAAAGGT